TGAGTTTATGGTCTAAGTCTCTAGTTTCAGTCTTCTTCCATACAGCATGATGTTCATTTAGTAAATAATGTTCCTATTTTATGGTGTTTATATAGAATACAAGATTGTGTGTGACCAGACAAACTTTCATTGTTCCCTGTTATGGATGAGTTGAAACCAAGAGCAGCCAATGAGAGCAGCTCAACTTGCAGTATGTCACCACTGCTGGCTGCTAAACACCAACATGGAGACTACCATAAAGCCCAACTGGAGGCTTCAGAACAGGTGACGGTTCACAACTGGTATAGAACAGTTATGTAAATGTAAAGGAATACTTACAGGTATCGTGGTGGTTAATCCTGAAGTCGTGATTTGAGGTGTAGTCATAGTCGGTGGAGGAGCTGTGGTTGCTCTGGTTGTTGTTGTAGTTGCAGGTGGTGATGTACTGGTTGTGATGGTGGTTGGAGTGGTTCTGATGGTTGATGTCATGGTCGTGGTTGGAGGGGGGATGGTTAAGATGACTGCAGTGGTTGCTATGGTTGTAATGGATGCGGTCGTGGTTACAGGGGTGGTTGTGGGTTTGGTTGTGGTTACAGGAGTTATTGTTGGACTTGTAGGTGGGACCGTTGAAGTTGAGTTGGTGATACTTCCTGTAGACACCACCCCAGCTGTTGGAGATGTTGGTGGAGAACCTTTAGTCATGCCACTGGCTGAGGTTTCTGAATGAACTGTAGACACCGGCATCGTCGAGGCAACTGTGGTTGAAATTTGGGAAATCGTAGGCAGGACTTGAGGGGTCGATGGTGGATCTGTCTCCATGATGGATTGAAATGTCATATCTGCTGTTGAAGTCCCATGAGAAGTTGTAGGAGGAGGTGTAGTTGTAGTGGATGCAGGTGGAAGGTAGGTCTGATTGTGTAGTATCTGCTCATCCGTAGTTGAATGTGTTGTATAGATTGTAGACGTTACCTCAGATGGGACCTTAGAAGTTACCTCAGATGTTACCTCAAATGGGACTTCAGACAGGACCAGGGGATCAGTCCTGTCACTCATCTTTGGTTCTAAGGAAGGCGTGGAGGAAACCAGAATCACGGCTGTGGATTCAGGGTCGTTTCCAATCGAGAAGGGGGATGCGTTGGAAACTTCTTGGTCTGCTGTTGTCGTCTCAGCTTCAGTCCTGAGCTGAGGGATATTTTTAACTGACGAAGTCTCTGAAATGTCAGTGAATCTGTCAGTTGTGGACACAGCCGGACTCGAGGAGGTAATATGACTGCCGTTTAAAGCTGACAGCTCTGTGACTGAAACATCAGGACTGAAGTCTGTTGTCTCTGACCTCCTGGTTTGAGGTTTGGTGATGTCATTCACATACGTTGAGGCTCCGTTAGTTATTGAGTGGTGGATCTTTGAGGTGGTGACTTGTCTGGTGGTCCGGTGGGTTTTTACTGTATTTGATAATTGTTCATTGGTGACAGTCATAGCGGGACTTCTGAGGGTGTAGACGGTGCTGGAGACTCCCAGTGGTTTATGAGTGGATGAATAAAAGAAGGTGGAAACGTGAGTTGTGTCTGAAAAATAAAGAGAAAAGTAATTGTCTGATATGGCAACAAAAACATTTTTCAACCTGCGGTTATGTCCCCCTGTCAAGCAGCTGTAGCGGTCCTATTAGCTGACTCTGGGAGCTCCCAGTGAACAGCACGACCAGACTAGAATCGAATATAGCATCTGATGCAGACAGATGACAGTTTGATCAACAAAGGTGTTTTTTTTGTTTGGTTCCTGGCACCCCAGGTTTAGGAAACTCCATAAATCACCTTGCTACCACTGTTGTCAAACTGGCCTCTGTCCCTCTTTGAGGCTGTGTTTGGTCCTGGGCCGGCCGTGATGACTGGGAGGTTGCCGAACCTTGTTCTGTTGCATGCTAATAGCAGCTACATTGGCAGTTAGTGGAGTGGAGGCAGAACATATTTTCCCCATAAAATATGATCCTGTTTGACCAAAATCAGTGATAAAGTTGTAAGTTGTAAGTTGACATTGTGAGCATGCTAACATGCTAATAGTGACACACGGCGAACATTGTGCTAAACATCAGCATGTTAGCATTGACACTGTGAGTTATTCTCATTCAAATTCTCAACTTGGTGTAGTTGATGAGTTCAGAATCAATCTCCAGAATAAGTGAAGAAAGCCAAAAGAGAAGTATGTGAGCAGTAGTTTCAGAGGTTTGGACATTGCAGCTCGGTGCTGAGTGTCTAACATCAGTGACTGTGTGAGATGTTGGCTGAGACTCTGACAGGAAGAACACTGCTGACGTTCTTCCTGTCAGACTGAGCGAACTAACAGACAGCAGCAACAATGTGAGGGAAGTCCATATCAGTCATCCTCAGTCTCTGACTGTACAACACTTCCTGTGGAGGGAGGCTGATCTTTAGCAGGTATACTGTTTATCATCTTAGTTTAGTGTGTTAGCATGCTATCAGTTTTAGGGTGGTTCTGGTTGTCAGACCTGATCCTGGGCATAATGACGTCATCAGCTGGTTCCCTCCTGAGTTGACGTCATACTTCCTCCACTCTGAGGTCTGCAGGTTTCCTCCAATCACCACCCGCTCTCCCAGTTTCTTCAGGTACAGCTGCGTGTCAGCCAATCCAAGCGCTCCCTGCTCGTTGTAGCAGCTCCACGCCGGCGCTCTGCTGCAGTGGCTGAGATGTGCAAGGCGGGTGTGGAATGGCAGGTGGGGGCTGGGATCGGCCCACAGACACCTGGAGGACTGATTGTGGATCAACCTGGCTCCGCCCAACCACGCCCACTGCTGAGCGGGGTTACTGACATCACAGCGTCCCAGGATGACGAGTTGATTTTGGGTTGACAGACACAACCTCCGTGGAGTCAACATGATGAGGAAACCGGCTGAGGAGATATAAAGGTGTCGGGTTGTTAAATTAACATAAAGGCTCAGTTCAGCTACTTTAATGGTTTTAGATATTTTCTGCCTCCACCCAAATACAATAAATCTGACTTCTGTTGTGGAGCTCAACAAACTCTAAAGATAGAATAGAATAGAAATGAAAAGAGAAGAAAAAATGAACGCTGCAAGCAGATCCAATTGTGACTCTCTTCCTGGTTTATCTCTTGGTATTTTGGGGCTCTGTGGTGAATGTTTGATGGTCACCTGTTTCTAAGTGATTATAAAATTTGATTTGTTTAGTTTTAATTTGGAGGAGGTGTTTTCAGAATCAGAATCAGAATTGGGTTTATTGCCAAGTAAGTTTTTACACGTACAAGGAATTTGTCTTGGTGCATTGGTGCATAAAAATCACACAAAAATAAAGTAGTTTTTAAAATATAAATAAATAAAGATAAGGATAAAGATAGAAATAAATTTAATCATAATGCTCTTTAGATAGAACCGACCAAATCTGAAGTTGTTATGATTAATTTTCTCTTTCTTTCTTTAGTACAACGTGTACAAATCACCAGAAATGACCATTAACTTCAAAATGGTCATGATACACGTAAGTACCGATTATTTATTTGGTAGCAGCGTTTGCTGCTCAGGCCCTAATAAGAAAATGTAAGAAAAAAAGAGGAAAGGTAAGAAAATGTAAAAGGGATAAGATAAGACAAGAAAGTAAGAAAAGATCAGGTCCGTTATAGCTCAGATCAATGTGCTGAGGGCGAACAGCATTTGTCGATTATCGTTCAGGGTAGAAATGAAAGTCGATTTTCAGACATTATGCAGGTGTCTTCTTTCTGACTCATCAGCTCCACTAATGTTGATTATCATCAGCACTACTTCATAAAAATGAGCTTTAATAAATGAACAAAACTTTTGTTTGTTTGTTCAAACATAAAACCAGTGAAAGGATTTTTAGTTAACTGTCTCTGAGTTCGAAATCAAACTCTTTGCACCTGATTGTGAACGCTTTAACAACATTTAACAACATTTATCAACTTTTAACATTTAACAACATTTAACAACATTTATCAACTTTTAACATTTAACAACATTTACCAACGTTTAACAACGTTTAACAACAGTTAACAGTTAACAACATTTAACAACATGTAACAAAAGAAATCAGTGTTTGATGTTAATGCTGCTCGTCCGCTGTACACAGCCAAATATTATCACACACTGTGTTCTTCCCTTTTTAGTATTATTGAGAACACATCAGCCTTTAATAAGTGATAATCAGTAATAAAGCTGTTGTTACATAAACTCTTCACACTCTTTATCATTTCTTTCTGATGTTATTTAACCTGTTCATCATTCAGTCACTTATTCAGACCTAAATCAGCTTTTTTTTTTACAACCAAATACATTTACTCACGTAGTGAAACTCATTTTTATTGGTTACTGTGGAAATATTTTTTATTTTTTGTCTTGTTGATTTTATTTCTCCATCTTTGTTTATATTGTTTGTTTAGTGCTGTGTAGTTGTTTGTAAGTGAAATTATTAAATGATTTACACATTTACACATGAATGCATCAATAAATATAACATTCTGCACAGTTCGTGGGCTACTTTATTATATTATATTATATTATATTGCTGTTACTATAAAGAAGGAACAATGGAGTAAAAATATTTAGCAATAGAATTATTCTATATTCACAACAAATTTTTTTTAAGAGAAATTCAAATATAAAATGTGGTTTTATTGTTTATTTATTATTAATATAGTTTTGATGTTTTTAATGGTGTACCGATACCCAGTTTGTATTATTCAGTAGGTACAGTGTATAGTCGGCCTACAGTTACTCCAGGACTGCGTTTAAGTACAAATTTAATATACATGAGTATTTCCATTTTATGCTTTTACTTCTTACACATGATGATCTTATAGAATATACGTTAAACTACCAACAGTATATAAAGTACTTTAACATCTACAGCAGTAAAATACACATAAATGCAGCAGTAATATTGATAGAAAAACATCAGATATAATAGTAAAACCCTATATCTACTTTTTCAGGACTTTTATTAGTACTTTTACTTAAGTAAAGCATCTCAATACTCCTTCTATGACTGACTGGGTAATTAAAAAGTACTTTAACTTAGTTGTAGGTCCTTCTGATGTAAACGGTAGTTTCCTGTATCTGAACCCAGTGAGTATTTCCAATATTTGCTCTGTAATCTAATGACAGAATCTGAATTAAAATACTTTTTTGAGGACGTTTGTAGTGAGAACACACATAGAACAAACTTATCGGGACAAACTGCAGTACTTACACACACAACTGAATCTCACAAGTGTAAAAAGGAGCAGAATCGAGGCGTCCATGTTTCTGTGCGTCCTCCAGCTTCAGATGAGCAGAACAGAAGAGCTGAAGGGAAGTGAGTGTTTGTGGGGAGGAAAGAGTCAGCGAGCAGCGCTTCCTTCTATTCAATTGTTGCGGAGGTTTCAGAACGAAAGAGTCCTCGCTGCTGGAAACTGCGCTCGTCTGTCGGAAATACCACAGTGCATCCCACAAGTTCAGTTGTTCTAGTAAACCTGGAGGAGGAAACATCCAACAGGAGCAGAAGGAGGAGGAGGAGGAGGAGGAGGAGGAGGAGGAAGAGGAGGTGATGTGGAGATGAAAATGATAATAATGATAATATACAGAGAGAGGACAATCTCAGTGTTTTCTTTTAGTTTCAAATGTGTACACGTATATAAGTTTTATGAGTCAGTTTATTCAACTGCACAAAGTTTGACACAAAAAAATATAAACTCTTCAAATGAATTAAATCATGTAAAGTATTTCCATGTAATCAAAAGGCTTTCTTTCAGAACAAAGCAAATCTGTTGGTCCAACTTAATTTACTTGGGTTAAGAGAAATTAATTTAATAGGGTTAATTTAACTTTAAATTTTACAGTTGTAAAATACAAATTGAGTTCACTGTTTGTGTTTATTGATCAGTTTATCATCTGTTCTCTGCTGTTACTGATACTGATCAATATGAAATATACAGTTCACTCACTGATAGAGGACTTTATAATTTATTGAGTCCACTGACGTCTGTTCAGACGGAGCTGAACTTTAGGGGGACATTTAGTGTGATCATTGTTCATAAGATATAAAAAGGTGTTTTTATTGTAAAGTTCACATGCTCTCCTGCTGCCTGCTCTTATCTTCAGGCCTAATGCTCCTTCACTAGGACAGGGTGTCAAATCAACCCCCTCATCCACTGACATCCTGTCCTGGCCAGTAAGAAGAGGAGGAGGAGGAGGAGGAGGAAGAGGAGGAAGAAGAAGA